CACGAGTGCCCTTGGGTCACAGGGCATGTGTACATTTTACTCAAGGCCAGGCACTTTCCAATACCACATTCGGTGGTGGGATTGCCGATTTTGAAAGCTTAAACCTGCAATAGAAATCGACTAGAATACCTATTTCACACATATCTTATTTACTGGTAGTCTCTAAACCCTATTTACAAACGAGGAATTCTTATATGTAGTTTTTAAGGCTATCAGTAATTCTTGGGTAAGAGCTTAGGCCCGCTGGGAGAGCCAATTAACCTTCACATACACTACCAAATTAACTAAGTAATAATTTAGTCGCCCATTTGTCTAGGGTAGTTTATCACATATATTGCCATGGTATAACAGTCTCAACTGATTTCCGTGACAAGTCGGCTTCTTGCTGGCCTTGAAATGGAGTCTGATGCCAAATGCATGCATCAGTAGCGCGTTAGGCCCACTGGCCGACACAGGGTGTCCACCCTTGCATACCACGATGGTTCTAGATAAGTATGGCCTTTGGGGAAAACGGACTAGAAGGGGCAGTCATTCGAAAGTGATGCACCTCAACAACAATTGTGGCTCCTATTTCTTATACTTGGATCGATTAAGTCTATACACCATCGGTAGATCTTGATTAAGAGCTGTATTAACCTTAGGGCGCATAAAGTGTTGAAGGAGTGATAGTTGACTTTTCCCATTATCACATATCGGGCAAAATTCAACGGTCAGGCTTTCATCACCTTGTCCGACTTAAAGTGAATGTAGCTCATATTTAAGATCTATTGATAATTTTGTAGTCAAGTATATAACTTTTCTTCATCGTCCATTCGACAGCATAATGTGCTGTGGTAGAGGCCTGGCTAACGTTAAAATTATCCTCTACCCTGTGACCTGTTGACGCCTGTGGCAGTGTGGCCTGAGGCAACATGTCGAAATTATGCACTACACTTTCCTCGTTCGAGTCCCGTTGTTGATGCTGGTGAGCTCCAGGCGAGGTGTAAACGGCAGTCCAGTCAAGCCTGAATGAACTCATCTCTTGTGAAACCAATGTTAAGTGTGATTGTGGGAAGATACCTCCATCAGTGGCCTTCTTCAGCTTATACGACCCAGGCAGAATACAGCTCGTATTCATATTTCTTAATTGTGCCTCTTTAGCTTAAGTCTAGCATGTCCTAATCTGCCCGGAATTCGCATCCTTTCTGGCCACTCTGGCTTCCCATGCAGCTGGCAGACTCGAGGATGTCGACTCTCGGGCGATCCAGTCTCGTGGCAAACTGAACCCTTGGAAGGCCGCCGAGGAATCGAGACTTCAGGCAACCGCTGTTATCGGCCGATCCGCCCGAGTAGAGACGTCTTCCGCACAAAGCCCGGACACCCCGGACTCGGGCCAAACCTCGGACTACGTCTATTCTGCCTGTCACTTGTGTCTGTAACACGAGTCAGGTCATGTGTCTTTTTACCACTGATCAAAGCCTTCCTTTTTGCCAAATCATTACTGGGCAAAATGGAACTTTCTGTGCTCCAGGTTTCAGAATTTGGAAGACAAATTGCCACTTGCCAGTGATAATGATGCCTGCAAACAAGACCGAGATAGACACGAATATGTGGGATGTACAAAAGTGTGTGTATACTTTTACATGTGTGCTCTTGCCAATGTGTATGCGCGGGTTTGAAGCATTTTATATCTTGGCTGGTCGGCATCCTACACTCTTTTCTGCAAATGACCGCTTAAGTAGCAGAAGGTGCAGATGTGTGCGTGATGGCTTATATGCTTATTATGTATATATAAAAATATAATGATGATGCTAATTAATAGAATGTCGCTACGTGGAGCAGGAGCAGGAGGAAGAGGAGAAGAGAGGGAAGGAGGTGAGAGAGAAGGAATGGATTTGCTTGTCAGTGATGATTTCTCTTTCAATGAAATAGCTTTGTCAATTTGACAAAAGTGTAGAGCCTCGAAATTGCCCCTGCTTGCACCTCATGTAGGTTGCTTTTGCTGGATTAGCTCGAAGGCCCAGTCCCAAATTAGGGCGTACCTCAACGGCTCAAATGGTACGTGAACATGCAGGCTGTATATATCATGAGAAATCAAGTGTGTCAAAGCTCGTGAGGATGTGGAAAAACGTCGTTTTGTGGATACTTCCAAATTGTTTTTGTCGCTATGACACAGTTAAACAATTGCTTACATTCGAAGGTATGAAGACGACGATGTACTGCTTGTGCTTTGAATTCTGCTTGTCTTTGTGTTGAGTTTAGTCCGATACGTTCAGAAAGACCTCCTCCTTTAGTTTCGATGAAAACGAGGTAAGCCTTGTTTGTCATACCACTTATTCGATCTCGTCGGAACTAGATCTTATTCTTACAGAAAGTTCAATTAGTTCCTCCTTACTTTTCGTCTCTACCCACAATAACGACAACAACAAAATGGAAGGTATGAAGACCAAGATGGTGTGGCCATTTGTGTGGTCGCAGTCTCATTTCGTTGTATAGTGGTTGTTTGACCTTGTTTTCGCAACGTGGTCATG